AATTTCTTAACCATGTTATTTGATTTAACACAGGAAAGAGCACAGTGCAGAATGGTGATGATCCAAGATGGACCCTATTCKAATGCTCCTGAGAAACCTTTACGAATCATGGGGGATCCTACGAGATGCCAAAGAGGCAAGGACCTTGTAACAGACCTTCTTACAGAGAAAGAAYTAGAGGTAGGTATTAATAGCATATTAATATATGCAATATATGCATAAGTTTACTTTAGGATATCTTTTAGATGGGTATACAGTTTTGACAAAATTTTATCAATTTACTTACTGGCATTATGGTGTATTGTCAAGCGATTGTTTTCCTAAGTTATGTTCATTTATGTGCAGTTCAGAGCTAAAAATAATGGCTGTTCAATAACTGGACGTGATGACTGACCAACATATGACCAATCAATGTGACTTTTGGGCCAGTCTAGAGGACTGGCCCAAAAGTTGTTTGGCCAGACAAATGCGAATTTGAGCCAGACCTCGTCCATTGACCGGCTGTTTATTTTTAGCCCTGCAGTTATAACTCCTAATGAATGYTATGGCTTATTTCCCAAAGTTTTARTAGTTTGGAGCATAATATTTGGACAGCATCTTCGTTATTAGGATGAACACTCTGTCTAACACTAGGAGAACTTTGTAATTAGCAGCATACAACAAGTTAGGGTTGATAGGACTGAGTTTATGTTTACGTTTTGGTAATTTTTTTTTTTGACATCATTCATTAACTAACAGACCGACCTCCAATATTTGAATTATTTTACTTTAAGGTTGCTATAGRAATTTTCTTATACATACTTACTCTGTTTTTTAATTACAACCTCCACCCTATTCTGATCATTTTAGTTAAAAAAATCTTTTTTGATCTTTTACACAAAATTGTATTGAAAAAAGAACAAAATGGCCAAAGTAGAAAATATTAAGACATTATACCTTTTGATTTTATTGCTCAAAAGAGGCATTTTTATCAATTGCTAGATTATCTTATCAACATCATATGGTATTGACCATTTTAGAGTAAACTTGAAATTTTGGCGCCAAACTTGTGACGTCATTTTCCCGGAAAAAAACAAAAACTCAAATGAAGTAAAGACATAGAATTGTGATGAATATAGATTGGCCAAGATTCAAAAACTTTAGATTTTAAATGGAAAGGATATATCAATATGTCTATCATTTTGAAGTGCTTTGTGCCCACCATATTGGGATCCAAATTTGAAAAGTTACCTTGACCTCGATCCCAGAATGAAAAACTTAGTGTACTCCCTGATAATATAGAAAGAATTTGTATACATGTAGTAATATGTTTAGTGCAGTGATCTTATGCTTGGAAGAAAAATTGTAAACTAGAGCTGTAAATATTGTAGACAGGAAATTTTTTCTTGGGAGATTTGTTAAACAAGCCAATYGTAATACTTGTCCCTCAAGCAAATAAAGCCTCCAGTTGACATCCATGGAAGAAGACCGCATCAGGAGACAGGATATGGGGGCGGAGGAGAAGTACTAGAGGTAAGGAAACGTGGCATTAACCTTGTATTCATGAGATGGTATGRTTTTTTCACCACAAGTGTCGTGTGAACCATGCCTACTCCAAGTTTTAGCTGCAATTTACAGTGCTTTTGTTTGCATTTTGTATTACATAAAGCAATGTGTTATCAGCATGTTCTGCAGACAGCTGCGAGTAAAACATTGTAACCTGTAAATCGGCCTTTACATGGCTATTTAAAAAAGGTTGTTGAAGATTTTGTTGCATGTTACATACCAATCCTGAAAAAAAATGAGTGATGTGAAAGCATTCAGCAAAAGGAATTTGCAATAAAGAATTTCTCCAAAATTTGTCTGGAGAAATTGCATAATATGCAGGCATATTTTCTTCTGTGATGGCATTATTTACTTATGATCCAAAACACATTTCRAGGAACATGCAACATGCTAATGACCTTAACCAACCTTTTTTTTGAAATAACTGTATTGCATCACATTGCTTTTGACCAAGGTTTTGACATTGGTTAGAAATTCAAATGAAATAGGGTAAAGTGGCCGACACACGGTGCAACATTGCAAGCAACAAATTTGAATCGGGGTGACACACATTGCAACAATCAGGCAACATCACTTGTGTCAGCCTGCTATGCTCAGATATTTGGTCAGCAGTTATAAATTTGGTGCAAGCTGATTGGTTGGAAATTTTGAAATGTTGCACACAATGTTGCAGCCAAGTTCACACGATGAAATTTGTTGCTCTCAATGTTGCAAGAGAGCATAATTCAACTTCAGATTTGTTGCATRCAACAAGTTTCAGGGGTAAAYACACTGCAATGGTCTTGTTGYGTGCAATGTTGCACCATGTGTCCCTAYCTTTACTCATTTAACTCAGGGGGATGTGWGGCATTGATATTYGCSYYTTAGTWTTGCRTTTTGGATAARAGGTCTTKCCATATTGGTCGAGTCTCCTCATAAATTCATTTAYTCATGACTGCCATRCTGTTGYACTRTATAAATCARTWTGTGTTTATYAATTCTTTGTTCATCTCTTGTTCCAGATTCCTGTTCCCAGAGATATCGTCGGGTTTGTTATTGGTAAAGGTGGTGAAACTATCAAACGAATACAGGCWGAATCTGGTGCTAGAGTACAGTTTAGTCCAGAATGTAAGTATGYTTGCTWTAACAACTAACATTCTTTATACAGTAGAACAACAWTAACTAAAATCTTCAAGGAAAATAAAGAAAGCTTCAAGTTATCAACAGTTTGAGTTATTGGTGGATGATCGAGGTTTTTTTTAAATTAAAAAGAAATTAACCTGAATGGGATAAATTGCTTCAGGGATCTGTGAAGGGGACTAATTCCCAGGGATTTTATTGTTCTGCCATCTAACCACAGGCACCACGTTGGCCCGCGATGGTGCAAAACCTCAATAGCTATTTCTTACCTCCAACTAACCAACATCGGAGGGACGTAAAAGAACCACTGAGGACATAAAGAAACCCTGGCAGTGACCACCCTCAGTGCTTACACTTCATACAAACCATCTCTCATTCATAAATCATTGTAAAGTGCCTTTGAACATATCCATATGGAAAAGAGCGCTATATAAATATCATAATCGTCAATCATAATCATAACTAAACCAGTGTAAATATTGAACTGTTTTTCAGCTGACAACCCTCAGAGTCCAGACAGAATAGCAACAGTACAAGGAACACAGGAACAAATACAACATGTAGAATCAACAATAAAAGATATTATACAACAGGTAGCATTACCATGTACATGTCGCAGGGGTGGCATATATATATTGAAGGGTTGGTATACGTGTGTTGCTAAGTGCCAGTATATTGATAAGATTTTGGAAAAAACTTGTACCCACCAGGAAACAAACGATATTAATCTTGTATTTTCTACTGTTATTTTCTCTTTTCATTGGTCTATTGGTAAACTTGGTTAACTTTAAATCCAAAGAAAAGGATCATTTTTATTCTGAGAAGGATTGTAGGAAAAGAAACAACTTGAAAACAAGGGAAAAGTCTAAATTGATTATTTAAAAAAAATTCAATTAGATCTTGAGACCATAACAGCAGTAAAACATTTTCAAGATTAATAGTCGTTTGTTTTAATATAAAGTCTAAACCAGTAGTTAGACTGTTAGGTATTGTATGTATTTAATGCATTGTGATAGATATTATTCTTTCAGATGTTGTTGTTGTATATTATACAACGCTAAACATGTCACAACACATGCTGACATGCACACACTGCATTTAAGAAGTCACCAGTGCCTCTGCAAGAAGTTTAGCTATCAAGAAAAAAAAGATTGCCCATAGTGTTGCAAAACATTTTAGACCTGCTTATGATACTTATGTAATCAAGGATGACAAAACAGTAGTGGGGTGTCAGCTTTAGCTCCCTAACAATACACCTAAGTCGAAAATGGGTGAAAATGCTGCATCCAGGGCCAAATTTACAGTATTTTCTTATGATTTGATGCCTCAAAATTGCYGAGTTCCTGAATGTAAGAAGGAAAGAAAGWCAGAACAAGTGTATACTTTGCATTGACACCATTTTGATTTTTTGCATTTGGTCCCAGGATGCAGCTTTTTTTTGTGTATTTCACTTGGTATTTCACWTAAGTTGAAGTTCATAGTAGTCCTTAACTTGTGGAGCGTAGAAACGATTTATTGTGGTTTCTATATTTGAATGTCAATTCTAGACACAAATGCTCATAAAMGAAATGAGAGTGGTTACCTTAAATTATGAATGAGCTGTCAGGCATAACTAGAAAGTATTTACATGATTGTAATCCATGAAATCTCTTATAGCCTCTTCCTAAATCTTCTTGTAGCCAGTTTCACATTCSTAACCGACTTCATAAGTTTAGCATTTTGGCCTACATCAGCTGAATTTACTATGAGCCAACAGACATTAATTTTTCCCATGGCAAATAGGCTGTTGAGTTGTGTGGGAATATTAACATCCAAAAATTTAATTAAGGGAAGTCAAAGTGCCAGACATCTAGGGTTAGTTAGGTTACATAAACATGAAATGGGCTATAAACAACTGGGAGACAACAGTTTTAGAGATGACTTATTTTTCACATTGATTGCCAAGTATCATTTTTAAGCAAAACTAGGAAAGTTATACAGAAGTTAGGCAACTGTTTTTATATTGTTATGTAACTTACAGCAAAGATWTGTGGTGTTTCCAAGTGTAAAGTAGTTTTCAATGAGTTTTTGCCTTGATAGTTTTGCTAAATTACTACTTGCAAGTGAGACTGGGAATCTTCATCCACCTATCTTTCTTCATATCATATCCAGTAATATAACTTTTATGAAATAATGAGCTAAGGGACAGACCATTAGATAAGCGAGGGGGGCTGCCTAAATTCAAAAACATCAAGGAAGCACTTCACCTACGAAAAAAATATCTTCCAACCTTTCCTTTTAGAAAATTAATATTGAGCAAAAACAATCGTGTGCAGGGGTTGTTACAAAAAAAAAAACATATCATGCAACATAAATTCGCTGCAACCCACTTCAATTATCTGAAGGTCCATCCCTAAGATAAATGATTTGGCCATTGCTTTGGGCATAACTTTGGCCTTTGCTTTGGCCTTATCAACATGTTGTGAATAATACAGTAGATTTTGTATGACTGTGAAACAAGCAAACTGCCGTACTAGTACGAAAATAATAGCATCCTTTGAACCAGTTACAGAACATTGAAAGTGCTTTAAAATGTCACAATGTCACAGGAGGTTAGTGCTGAGAGTTTTTCACAGTCTTGCAAAATCTACCCTATGTTAATTTCCTACAGCTGAAGCAAAAATCAAAAGGCCAAAATAATATTAGAAATCATGTCTGCGTATGGACAGGATTTCTATTATTTATTCCGATTTTCAAACACTGAGGAATGAGTTGAAAAAATGAGGCAGAACCAAGGTTTTTTATCCAGCATTGAGGTGTTTGGAAAGAGGATGAAGTACTCTTTCAAGTGCTTGATATGGCTTCCAGAACCATTAATGATTCTTGCAGAAATTCAAAGCATAGGTTGCCTAAATTTAATGCTTATGAAAAACATGTTTTCAAACCTCCTTCACGCTAGCAATTTTCTTGCTTTTGTTCTCATGAATTATTAATGACTTCGAGAAGCTATTGTCCAACTTTACTTTACTGCTTATCAGTACTGAATTCTCTATTCACTTTGAATTTTAAAGTCTCGTCAACGTGGTGGGCCACCACCCAAAGGACCTCCCCCCAACATGCCAGGAGTAAAGACTGTAGAGGCACCAGTACCAGGAAACAAGTGTGGCCTTATCATTGGAAAAGGTGGTGAAACTATCCGACAGATTATGCAACAGTCTGGGGCACACGTTGAACTTAACAGAAATGTCCCAGAGAGCTCACCAACCAAGTACTTTGTGATTAGAGGCACCGATGCGCAAATCCAGCAAGCACAGAATTTGATCAGAGAAAAAGTCGAAGATGTAAGTGGATTCAGAGAATATAGACCTATTTTAGCTTGGGTGTAATGTTTTTCCATTTCAGTTCTGCTTCGAAATTAAGTGGGATTGACTGTACAAATAGATATCACGATGGCATGCACGGGAGCTTTGCTATTAACAATAAATAAGATGCAGAAATTTGATTTTTTCTTCCAAGTTTGAACCGTTACTTTTGAATATGTTTTAATGATGTAATTCTTTGATTGCATGCTAATAATGATAATGATGATAATAATAATATTTAATAATAATAATAATGGGATTAAGAGTGGATTCCACAGAGTGGCTCTTCTTCCACTGGATTCCAATTGGCATTTAGAAGTTGAGGAAAACCGGCGAACCCCAAAACCGCATGTTACGTCATTGAAACCTCTTGGGGAAGCGCGTTGATGCCATTTACCAAAGTTTTGTTATAAGCATCTATTGTTAACGGCACCGAAATAGCAACCACGTTTTCGTCTTTTGACTCTTGTTGGAATGCAAACCAAAATTAACTTGCTTAACCAAATTTAATGATTTTGATTACATCTTACATTAGTGCTGTTTACTGATTGTCTTTCTTTATACCAGACTCGTGGTGGTGGTTCTGGAAGAGGTCGTGGAGGTGGTAACTATGGTGGTAACCAAAAGTAAGTCAAGCACAAAAAACTATAAAATACGAGAGTGTATTACACATTATATCTGTAAAAAACTTAAATAATGAGCTATACAAACTAGTGCAAAGTTTTGTAGGTCTCAGGGTTTAAAATATGAGCCGGATATCAGACAATGTCCCCAAGAGTTGGAACTGGTCCAGTCAAGTCTTTGCCTTGTGGCCATTTTGACCAGTAAGGTTGAGTCGGAAACAAAGTATGACATAGCTAAAACTAATTCGGCTGGTCACTATGACTGTCGACTTAAAGGCCGTTATTTTAAGCCATTGTTCTACTGAACTTATAAGTTTGTGCAATTTCTTACGAAGCTATTTTGATGTTTTGTCATACCACGTACATGCTGTAAATCAGTACTAGATTTTTGCCACTAGTGCGAAAACTGCTCTGTAAATTTAAGTTCCAACCCCACTAACCAAGTATTCTAACAATATTTAGATGGAATCAGAATCAAAACTCCAACTGGAACCAGCAGCAGCAACAACAGCAGCAGCAGCCACACCAACAGCAGTCGTGGTCAGGCGGAGGGGGTAATAGTAATAATTATCCTTATGGTAATCAACAGCAGTATGGACAGCAAGATTACTCACAGCAACAATATGGACAACAACAGTTTGAACAGCCAGGCCAGCAAGTGGTGAGTCAGATATTTCATTGGGATAAGCCTCTGACCTCTGGGCATTTTTAAAGTGCCTATCACCCTTCTGACAATATTTACAGTATTGATTCTACATGGGGTAAGATATCGAATAACCTGAAAAAAATTCATAGTTTGAGTGCAGCTTCTTGAAGTTATAAAGGTTTTTCCATGTCATATGCTAATGTGGTGACGTATGAGGAGGCATTTATGGTTATTTGTTGTTCCTTGTAATTTGAAACACTGGCTTCCATGGGAAAAATAGCTTGCAATAATTTCYATAAGAGCAATGGGCAAAACAATGACGTATTTCAAATTTAATTTATCTGTGCCAGTAATGTTTTGTATATTAAATGATTACTCCTCATACGTCACAACATTAGCATATGGCACGGAAAAACCTTTATAACTTCAAGAAGCCGCACTCAAACTATGAAATTGTTTCAGGCTTTTCCACATCTTACCCCATGTAGAATCAATACTGTGAATATTGTCAGAAGGGTGATAGGCACTTTAATGGTTGTCAGCAATCAATGGTTCCCCAAAAGAGAATAGTGATCCAATCATTGTTTAAGGAGTTTTCCCAGTGGAATTAAAATCTCGTACCACAAACTGTGAAAAGCTCAGTGCCGTAAGCCATTTAGGTATTGGATTTTCGAGTGAAAGACCTCGTTAAGAAGAATTCTTCTACCTCTCTTATAGGCTCAACAAGGCCAGCAAGGAGCTCAAGGTGAGATGACATAATATTCTTTATTTTTATTGGAGTCCAGCATCCTAAAGCTGCCGATACATGCTAGCAATGCAATCTCAATTTTCCCATTGCATTGCCAGCACAAAACACAGTTTCAGCATGTATCATGCTCCACAATTTTGATGGGAACTATGTCTAATGCAGCAATGCAAAAATTGCTGCAGAAAATCAAAAAGTTTGACCAAAAGGAGGTCACCCAGTCATCTTCCAAGGCTGAGCAAGGCAGCTCATTCAAAATAAAGGTGGATAGTGTGAATGCAGGTCAAAACAAAAGGTCAATTTCTATACTTTTCTTTTATAAAATTAATGCATTTCATGTGCTTTTATATCTTTCATTGTGGACTAATGACCGGGTGACCTTGTTTTCGTGCACTTGTCAGCCATTATGAGAGTGGTGTATAAGCCTCGGGGGATAATGTCATTGTTTTCCAATAATTTGTTTTTTTTAGGATAAAATTGTTAATATGGGGCATATTCTGAGTAAATGAGTCTATGATCAAAAATGATAGAGAATTGACATGATTTAAAATAGTYTAGTTATCTAACCAATAAATCATTTATGTTATTAGGTGGGCAGCAAGACTATGCTGCTGCTTGGGCAGCTTACTATCAACAGTATTACCAGCAACAAGCTGCCGCAGCTGCTGCAGCAGGAGGACAAGCACCTGGACAACAACCACAAGGTAGGTTAGCAACACAATGGGAAGCTAGCCTAGCCTTTATGGTTTTTATATTGGTCTGTGTCAATTGGCTTAGGGGTCTGTTGGACTCCTAACCTGATATTACGGGAGTGTCCAGTTAAAAAAAGTCTAAATGCTATTGGCAAAGGCATTTTTTCCCCATATCCTACCAATTCTATCTAATCGCAGACAAGAACAAGATGTTAAACTTTGTACTGTAGAAGACTTCCTGTGGTGTTACTCAGACTTGCACCCCAATGACAAGTGGCTTCATCTCTACTAGGCAGTAGTCACAAAAAGTGGTTTATAGTGATAAAGTCATGAAGATAGAAAATGTGCACAAGTACTGTGTGCAGTTATGAAGCACGCTGGGATTGGCCGAACGCTAGAGAAGTGTTGGGAGAAGCATGACTTGTAGCGGAGAGCTTCTCGACACTTATTGAGTGTTCTGCCAATCCTTAAGTGCTTTATAACTCAACACAGCACAGCAAGCAAGCTTTTTATTTCTTTTATAAAATACAAATTACAATAACTGTCATTTTAAATAGGAATGATGTAACTGAACAGGTGCCCACATGCTGAGTGCTCTCATAAAGCACTCAATCAGAAAGCAAGATTTTTAACAGTAATGTTATTTTGTGGTTTTTTTTGTACTAGCTGGTGGACAACCTGATTACACAGCCGCATGGAACCAGTACTTCAAAGCACAACAGAACTATTATCAATACCCATACCAGCAAGGACAACAACCTGGACAGCCTGGACAACCTGGACAGCATGGACAACCTGGACAACCTGGACAACAACAGCCGCAACAACCACAAGGTGGACCGGGAGGACAACCACCATCATCACAGTAATGGCACGATAATCGGATGTCAGGTAAGTCCCTCTTAATGCAATGACTCCTGTGTTAGCACCTCGTGATATTAGATTTTGTATATTTTGACTGACAGGGAAAGATATCCTTTTTGCAGTTCTTATTAAACCACAGTAATATATTTTAGTGAGAGATGTTTTATACCATATTATATTTAAACATACAGTATCAAAAACGTATTTAAAAGTAAGCTTTACTTGAGTTATAATCTTAATATTGTCCTTTGTAATAAATAGGGAGGATAAACTTGAAAAGTGTTTAGGAAGTCAATATTTTTTATAAGGAATAGTAAGAATAATGCAGAGCCTTTTTAATATTATTTATAAAATAATTGGGATACTACGCGTGCTATGATTGGTCGAAAACCATGTTTGATGAGAGTATCAAAACACGCTATCGTCATTTTAGCACGCGCGAGTATTGCAACTGTCAGATTTTAATTTATCGTGTGCGCTCATTGGTCAGTTTGAAAAAGACGGCACGTAGGGAGAATTTACTTAGGCTTTGGGTTTCTTCGATCTTTTCACGCGTTTGTTATTTTATAAAACAAATCAAAAACAGTTTTCCGTGTTTGAGAAGCTGGAAACCACTCGGCTACGCGTTGTGGTTTCCTACGCTCCTCTCGTGTTCTCTCAACATCCTGCGTGTTTAGATCAGAGTATCAAACACGGAAAACTGTTTTTGATCTGTTAAGTTGATCAGTATTAGACTGTGTTTTCAAAAATTTAATGATCATAAATGTGTGGATGAAGAAAGTGTAAAACCATTTTTGAGGATGAGGACTGGGCATGTTATGCACAGAATAATGTTTTTGAGAGTTGGGTTTGAATAAATTTGAAGATCAAAACTCTCTGAGAATTTTGCTTTTATTATGTTAGAGCACTTTTTCCATGTTTTTGCAGCCTTCCAGACTTCAAGGTTTGTTCTTCTGTGCCTAGAAATATTTTGTATTCATACCATTGTAAATTTGATGGACAATAGCAGAAGCAAAAACTGACCAAATTTCTGACTTACTTCTAAGAAGGTTTTCTGAGCCAAAGGAAAAAGGCCAATAGGCCATGTTAAATCCAAGAATAGTTGGAATGGCTTGTGTTTCTATTCATTAATCTCATCAAAAACTCCGGTTGTTGAGATATTTATTATTGTTTGTACTTGACAAAACTATTTAAAACCTTTAATCAATCTTGTTTAGATGTACAGCATGCCTATAATCTATTTCCATCTTGGCAAAACCTGTTGCCTATATCTCCTTTGGCTCCAACAGCCTGCTTTGAAATAGATGTAAATTTATTCTACTTGATACTTAAAATGAACATATATTGCATAAATTATAATGACTGTAGATATTGAATAGTGCGAATGTTTTGTGATGATATTTATATAGATGTTTTGTAGCTTTTTTATTGTTGTCTTTCATCTTAATTATTCTCTTGATAGGGAACCCAGTAAGTAAAATAACATAGAATAACAGTATTAATGCCCTAAAATCTTTATTATGTCTGACATTATTTTACCTTCAATGAATATGGATGCATTGTTGCTATCAAAATATCAGTTATCGTTGGTGCATCTTGTCTTTGCAATGTTAGATCAATATTTTGCTATAGTCTCTGGTCCATTTTACCACGCTGGACAAGAAACAGTTGTGTCTTGCTGGCTGGTTTGTCAGACACTCCAGGAAGCCACCATTAGCAGCGGAGGTCAGCACTGATAGAATCAAAACATTGAGTGATTTTTTAAAAAAATCTTTTTTTATGGCTTTGTCTGCTTGTTATTGTAAATGATGTTGTGTTAAACTGCTTGTTTGCTCTTTCTAATGATGATGATGTTGTTGCTGCTGAAGCCACTGCTGTTGCTGCTGTTGTTGTTGCTATTCTTGCTACTGCCACTGTTTTAATTTCTCTTTAAATGTAGCTGATGTGTTCATACTGCTCTTGTTTGCATTTACAGTTTGATTATATTTATTTAACATCCATTTATTCCTACTGATTATCGCAGACATGCCTATTTTTTGCTGATGAACTACGATGGTATGGTTTTCTTGTTGCCATATTTCTTCCATCTTTCCACTTGATGTATTCAGTGATTGTAATCGTTAATATTGATTTGATGATTGCAATTTTAATATGATATTAATTGTTTGTGTTGATTGCTTTGATGATTATATATATGCAATTACTATTCCGTACAAAAAAGCAGTGATATTTACCAGGTCTAACTCAGGTAACTGCAGTTTCAAATAAGATTAATTTTTTTCTCAGTGTTTTTCATACATGATCTCAAATCTTGTTGTCTTAAGATCTCTTTTAATTGTTCACTATTGTATTGAAGTTTATTATGACCATTATTATCATTATTTTTACAAAATCATTACCATGTGCCAGATCCAGGTTTGAAGTAACTTTTAGTGTCCAGGCCAAACAACTTGACTTTGGAGGAATTGACTGAGTGTGAAATTAGTAGACAGATTATTTTTTATCCTCATAGATTATTATTTATACTTCTTAAATATGCATAAATTTAGCAAGCCATTTTATAGTCATGTAGATTTTCGTTTCAGGACCCGTCCAAGGTACTTTAACCTATGGTTTCTAAAACTATTATATGCTAGTTTGTCAACCATTATCAATAAATCATAGATATTATTTTAAATTATTATTTCTTTGATGTTGCTTAATTTCTTGTTTAGTAGCTATTTTAGATTAAAATATACTGTATTTGTATTTCTTTGGGATAAGAGGTAATGGTATAAGAAGAAAGTAACGGCCCTTAAAACCTAACCAATATGATACGAACCAACTTCAAATACCCTACTACGATCTACCAAAACCCCCAATTACCTTATCAATGGTTTATCAACAAACCATAGCAACAAACAACTAGACCCTTACTCTACTCAAAAGCTACTAGTATGCTACAAACTATCTACGATGACCTACCAACAACACACCAAACATCTTATTGGCACATTAAAAACAAGCAAGCAGCTCAATACAACACCAGCAACGTACACATACTATTAACCTACCAATTATTTTGTAGTTTTAAGTTTTATCATACTCCCGAACAATTTCTGCCTTTCAGGAATTTTCATATTGCACTTATGTGGCTGGGATTGCTAAATACATGTTCTTTCCTTTACAGGGTTTTATACATCGTAATAATATTGAGTTAGATTATTCATGGAATTTTTATCAATTTTGTATTTTTAGGAAGTACGACGCTCATCGCTGGACTCTCRTCTTTGTATCTTGTTCTAGTGGTGCTATTCTTCATTCTTGTTTCAAGAGTCTGGTTTCAATGGATGAATCACTATTGCTTCATAAAATGCCTCATTGATGTGAATAGATTTATCGTAGTTATTGTACCAGTGATTCAATGTCATATTTTTAACTACTTGGGATGCACTGCAGCTTAATATAATCTTTTTTTATTCCTGTGCGCTGGCCAAAATGTTCCAGATGAAATGCATGATGATCGTAGCCTTCCTATGACGTCAAGGTCATTTCCAGATTATGTGTAGAAGAAACTGCTACTCATTTAGGATTACTATTGCATTCTATGTCATTTTATACTACTCTAAATAATATGCATAAGATTGAAACCTTTGAACTTGTAATCTTCATAATTATCAACGTGTATGTCATTGCTTGTGGTTTTGCATCAACTGTAATATTGCATTTCAGGGCTGTCTGCTCAATACATCCTCAGATAAGTACATGATCTTATAATCAGTGATTTCATTATTTTTGCTACATTATTAAAAAATAATACTTATAATCATCATGCATTTTCACTCTAAATGTCGCTCACCATTTTCTTCTCATTCATGATGTGATTTCAAACTTTTTTCCAAAATCCAGTTGTAATTTCTTAATTTATTGAAACATTCTCTTTCATGGTTCTATTTAATCAACCAGCTGTTGATCTTTTAAGCATTTCAGTGATCAAGTCACACACTTTGGTCAGCAGAGTGAAAAGGCTGTATAAAGCGACCAATGGTGGGTCTGTAGTACCTAACCTTATTGATTTTGCTTGTGACTTTGTTGCTTCAGTTTACAGATACTGTCTGAGAATAGTTCTTTGAAAACTATTGGACAATYGTGAGTTGATATCATTGCCAACTTTCTTCTTTTTTTATTCAAATGYCATTATTTAAACTGTAGATATGTTCTAATGCAGATCTCAGAATATTCTTTCATTCCTGAGCAGGAAGTAGGCAATTTTTCTGTCCTTAAAGACCTGTTTATTGATGCTTGATCTTTTGACATGTTTGCTTGCTGCTCTGTTAAATGATATTTGTCTTTCCTAAATCTATACCCGCCTTGCTAAAATAATGTTTATCACTGAGTATTGTTTTATTACCAATTATAGATATATATCTATCAATTATTATATCTGTAGACTTTATGACATTTTATATTATTGTCGTGATACAAGTTTGAGGTCATTTTTATGCTATACTTGTGTTAATAACATAATAGTTATGATCTATATATTACCTTTTGTTAGTTTTCTCGTCATGAATTACTTTCTATCTAGACCATTCATATCGTGTTTTTCACTAGTAGGGCCAGTACACAGTGGAACATGGCTGTAAGTAGCACCACTATACTTCCTGCACAACCCTACAATCATGTCTTTATAGCTTTACTAGTCATGCTTTTCACCCATACTTTGAACCATCTGTTTTTATGTGCCAGTGTTATTGCATAATATTTTCTTTTACATGTATTTATATTATAATTATAGATTTTAGACCATTTGTTTATGTTAACTTAAGAAGAAAAATGCCTATTAAACAGACTATTGTGTCCCAGGATGTAGTTTGTATATTGCACTTTGAAGTAGAAAAATACCTAGTCTTCTTAATGTTCTATAAAGCCTCAATTTTGTCAAACTAAAACAACCTCTCGGTTGATCTAAGCCAGTGAAGGGTATRGATCCAGCATTTTGGGTAAGGGGCTTGAGGAGGGAAATTAGCCAAACCCCCCTCCTCCTGAAAAAACTTGCATAAACACAAAACAATATGGCTTCTGGTCAAACTTGAACTTAATGTGTTCATTCACTTATAATATTTACTGTGTTATATCAAGTCCATCCTTGACTTGGAGCCATTGTGTGGAGCCAGTTGTGAATTTTCGATTGTCATAAAAAAATATAATTTTCCATACCAAATATCTAAAGCTTACCCATTCAACAATGCTGTTCCCAGTGGGCTGCATGGCTCCCTCTCGCTAGAACCAACATTGTTTTTTTGCGGGGGGGAGGGGGTCATTGTAAGGGGACATACATGTGTTTTGCACAATATACCCTTACAGACTAAAATTCTCAACTATTTTGTCCAAGATTGTAGCTTCAGTATGAACATCTTTTATAAAAGTTATGGTTATTAGCCATGTTCTCTACTGTTTCTTTTCAAAGATTTCAAAAGGTTTCCCCCTGATTTGGCCCTAAAACATTTTTGTCATTTTAGGCATAAAATTAATTAGCTTAGTCTGAATGCCACTGCAGTCATGAAAAGAAGTGCTATAAGTGACCCAGTTAGAGTAAAAACTCTCTTGTTTATCCAGCTGCAGTTGCTTTTTGGACTGAAAATACAAGCACTCTCGTCAAAGTGAATAGCCAATCCATCCTGTAYGAAAAGAAATAGAAAATATGTTAAAACTGGGGAAAGGAGAGATTTAAATTTGTCAGCCGATATAGCTTGGCAAAGCAGAGTTTACATTGTTTTTTTTTTTTTWAAATATTATATCTGCTTGATAACCAGTTACTATGACTACTAGTAAAGCAGACAGTCAGTAAAGCATATTTTACTAGTAATTGAATAATACGAAGATAAAGGACTCGATGGAGCGTAATTTGTTATTGTTATACTACCACTTCAAAGAAAAAGTAATTTTGCAACTCGACTAGTTTCCTGTTTCCTTTACTTCCAGCACTCGTATATTCAGAGTGGTCACGGCCAGGGTTTTGTTACGTTCTCAGTGGTTCTTTTACGTCCCATCTTATTGAAAACGAGGGATTCACAATCCCCATTGTAAAGAGCCAGGTTTTTGACACCTTATTCTAGGGAACCCGGGACCTTCCACCACAAAGCCGGGCCAGTCTAGTCGTAAATACTTGTTACTGCAATTTTTATAAACATGCGAACTTTGTGTCTCCGAGTTGCGAGCTGAAGTCTGTTTTTCGCTGCCGCTAGTCAAAATAAAACTGTGAAAGATACAGACTAATTAGGTTTAACTAAACGGCAGCGAAAAACCAAATTCAGCGTGCAGCTCGCAGACATAGAGTTCGCATGTTTATGAAAATTGCAGTTTAAGCCTTTGTAAATATTTTGGATTTATTTACACTTTGATTATCCTAACTGTAAACATCCTACTGCTTGATATGATATGTAAGGGTATTCTAACTTGGTAAAAAGTAAATATTTTCTTAATACGTACCCAACCACCGTTTTCTCGTATCCAAGTGCATAGCCTCTTATGAATATACTGTCCCATCCAGCGAGAAATACTCTTAGCAATTCTAAGATCGTTGTCTTGAGAACAATCCGTGGCAAGAGCAGCGGCAAACGCATACATTGACACAATCTTTGACCAAGTAATGCCACTTGCAAGTATGTTATCACAAACACACGTGAACACTCCACAAACGACCAGATCGATGTTGATGCCAAAGTTTAACTGCTGGGTGACATTACAGTACAGCGTAGGAAAGCAATTCTCTAGGATCCCTCCGTATTTTTGCATCGTGGTGACAACGTCTTCTGAGCAAATTTCTTCAGAAGCTTTCAAACGCGGATTTCCCTGAAGCATTACTTTCGTGGTTTTTGCCTTTTGACTAAACTTGTTTTGGATGTATTTCTCGCATATGTATTCAGCTTGTAAGGCAATTTTATCATCCGAAATAAATTGCGTCTCCTTAGTCTTTCTTAAAAGGGAGTTTATGTTTACAAACAAAGCTGTAATAAGTCTGACCGCGACCAACAAGTATTTCGTTGCAGACATGAAAAGCTTGGTAGACATTATATCAAAAACACTGTACGAACAGCCAGACTATCAAGCGTAAAAACGAAACTCGATGAAGATGATATCAGATGTCGAAGCAAGGACTGCGAGTAGTCAACAGAACTGAAGCATGGATCGAAACTGGAACCAAAAGTATCTTGCAAGCGGCTTTCAAGGGGCTTTCAAGGACGCTTCTTTGATCTTCGTAAACAGACTAATTAATTACTTTTGAATTGTTTTGATTGAGTCGTGATTCCTTGGTTGACGTCATATCCGGGGCGTCAGATATCCTTAATTACCCTCGAGCACTGCACGTGTAGGATAAAATATCAAGAATTGAACCAGAATAGAAATAATAAATAAGTATTACAGGAAGGACGCCAGAAGGTGAACGACGATTCATAGTGCATTTTATTGCAATTTGTCCTCAAAGACGTCGTAAAAGTGACTTGTATTACGAGAGGTCAGCCGGACAAAAAAGTAAGTGAAGCATGACATGCATCGAATGGTCCGTTCAGGCCTATTCAGTTGCTCTTCATGGAGCATTCATGTTTTAGAAGAGTTGTTCAGTTAATTAGCAGAAAATTCGCCAAGACTTTTGGAAGTGGTAGTAATGACGCCATTATAAAAACGGCCTGTTTAAAATTAAATATCAGTAGTATAGGGGATGGGGGTTCCAGCGCAACGACAACCGGAGGATTACCCGCCTAAAGTACCCCCCTCGATTCGTACCGCGATTACCCGCATCCCGCGTCTATGTAAAATATGTTAGTCTATATATGGAGTGCGAAGATTGTAAGAGAATTTTTAAGAAAGAAGTGGACTTGAA